TTTTGCCTCCAAAACCTTTGTTGTCACTTTCACTACTTTATTATCTGTCCAAACACGTCTCACTTGGAAATTAGTCTTCAAGGCTCATTGTGATTTATCTGTTTAAATAAAGGTTGAATGAATGAAAAAAAAAAAAACTTAACCATTTGTTTTGCATTTTGTTGTATAATACAGCAACTTGGAACGTATTGACTATGATGTACAATCACTTTGCGTAAAGTGGTCGTTCTAATTTAAAACAGCAGAGGAACCCACCACAAAATTATTTTTACTTCCCAAAGTAAAGTGAAACAATTACCTTAAAAGCTTATTCTGGCCAGTACAGCAAAAACGTAATACAGCAGCTATGTTATAGTTCCCACACGTCTCAACCGAAAGTGGATACGTCACTTTTCTGCCATTATTTTAGGCAAGCGCTAGAAAACAACGATTAAGATGGCTTTCAGATAAACCAAAATGAATCGGTACTCTTGACCAATGTGCAAGAGAAAATATATCCAGAAAACAGTTGTTGTCAGGATTGACTTGAACGAGGCAGAGAAAGAATGTCAGACGCCGCAGACAAGTTGCCTCCGATCTCTTATTATGACAGTTGATTATTTATTGACCACGATGAGTCCGTACACAATGGAGGAGCTTTGCGGCCTGAAATCCATGGACACATACAATCAACGTTTTAACAGCTTTTTTAAAGTACATCTGAACTGAGAGCTACTGATTAAATTAAGGTTTAAATAAATACATAAAAATATTAACATGCAACCTCCTCACAGAATGACCAGGCCCAACTCGAGGCTAGAACCCAGAACATTCACGCTGTGAGGCGACAGTGCTAACCACATCGTGATGCCAATAACGCATCAACACGGATGACTAGGACATTTTTTTATGACATTTTGAGGCGTGCCAATGCAACGAATGCTCAAAATTACAATCTGTGTGTGCAGAGAGAGTGTTTACAGTGGGAAGGTTTAGCACATAGCATACTGAGCTAGCTACAGTAGAGACGTTTTAAATATGAACAGAGTAATTCCAGCACACATACATATTTTAACAAAATGATTGTTTTTTTTTTGTTTTTTTGTTCATCAAATAAAAGTGATTGGAGCAAATTCTCGATGTTTTAAAATGATCCTTATGGTTGATGTTTCCAAGGAACTCGCTGACGTTCTGCACTCAACTCCTCCGTTTGAGATCTTTCGCATTTCCTGATTTTTGGGATGAAGTAAAAACTTCACTTTGCTGAACCGTCGGCCCGATTGGAACGTCATCTAACCCAGCATGAAACAACCATTTTGATGTATGTAAAATTACTCCTCGATGGTCACACTTACTCGGTCGTGACTCACGCCATTGTAGGGCTGGGCAATATACCGAAAATTAACCGACACCGAAATGTATAACAACGATCGAGGTCATTTTGCCCATGTCGGTATTTTCGGTGTTTTAAAAAAAGAAAAAGAAAAGTTGTTTTGTCTTTTGGCTGTGTATAAGTAAGCTATGCTCATGTCCCTTTAAGACGCAGTTAAAAAATGAACATCACGGTGCGGTTGAGAAAATGGAGGAAATTTTGAATGTTGAAGCGGCAGCAGCGGCGACAGAGCTGGTCCAGGAGGAAGAGGAGCAACTAATTTAAAACAAAAAAAAAAGCGTCAGTCGTTTGGCAACATTTTGGGTTCAGCAAAGAAGATATTGAACAAAAAAAAAGCCAAGTGTAAACTATGCCAAAAGACTGTTGCGACAAGCCATGGCAATACATCCACCTCTTCCACCACCTGCAACCTTTACAGAGAGGTAGGCCTTTGCACATGACATTATATTTGCACAACTCATTGGGTATGTTTACATGGACATAAGTAACCGGATCAAATGGCCGGTCGGAATAAAAGTGTGTCATGTAAACGCTCCGTTCGGGTTATTTTTTGTGTATTCGGCACGATCCGTTATAATTTCTGATCAGAACGAAACGGGTGGTTTACGCCGATCCGAAACCCGATCAGTGTGCATGTAAACGCTTGATCTGTTCGTTTTTATCTGATGGTGAAAAACTGACCTGACTGCGCATGTGCGACTTTGCCATTTCCGCCTGGCTAACGCTAATAATATTAGCATGTCAGGGAAGTAAAACTGGTCGGTGAGCGACACAGCATTTCTACTAGAAACTTTTAAAGAGCTCAAAATGATTTCTATTACCTGTAGCTCAGTCAGGGAGTGCAATAACGTCTCCACCATCATTAAAACCTGTCGCGGGTCCATTTTGGGTGCTCAGGTTTGTTTACGTTCACCCGGAAGTAGAACTTCGGGTTTTTTTTTAAGGAGAGTTTACCACTCTGCGCATGTCAGTACTGCTGTTCAGAACAAAGCCCGCTGCATGTAAACGCTCATCATGAACAGATTGTGCCCATGTAAACAACACATTTTAATTATTCAAACAGAACACATTTCAATCCGGTCAAAGAATTCTGCGCATGTAAACATAGCTATTGTTTACTTTTCCAAATGGCAAATGTGAAATGGATTTTTTAGTATTTAGTTTTATTTACAAGGGAATACTTGACAACTCAAATGTGACCATTTCATTTATAAGAGATTGTATTTTTAATACTTTGTGTTTGCAGGAAAGTGAAGTTATTTTATACTTCTACATTTGTTCAGTTGTGCTTATTTGTTCAAAAACTATTAGCAAGTAAAAGTACACATTTTCTTCATTTATTTGCAGCAGCTGTAGTTTTAAAGTTCATTAAAGTGCCAATAAAAATGGAATTATGTCATCAATATAACTGGCTGTGAATTATTTATGCCGGCCTATTACGTTATTTTTGGGGGTGGGGGTTGCAGTTATCGCCCATTTATCGTTATCGAGGTGAACTGCTCAATGTATTGTGATATTGATTTTAGGCCATATCGCCCAGCCCTAAACCAGTGCATGCCTACTAAAATGGTGGTTCGTGACAAAGTGCCCAGATGTGTAACATCACATGAGAACTATGTATTTGAGCAGGTACAATCTGATTGAAAGCTGTAAATGAAAACCTACATTACACCAGAAGTAATGTTCACTTCCCATGACAAATATAAATAATATAAACTGTTTGTGCCTAATCTGTCAGTACCAGCTAGACAGTGACTGTTCCTAATGCCGCATGCTATCAGAACCATTTTAATAAACTAATATCACAGTTCACTGCTTAGAGTCTGTTTTGAAGTCTGCTTTGCGTGACCCAGCAATGACTCATTGCTTAATGCAGCTTTAACAACAAATAAATGACTGTAACTGCCTTCATCACCATCTCCATCACCCATCTAGTTTTAATATTGACAACAGCACAGTCCATTAAAGCAGTGTCCTTGACTGTTATTCCTTCCTAATGATGCATAACATCACAAGCAGAGATGAAGCCTTGATCTCGCATCTTGAGACAGTCCCAAAAGTAAAAAAAATGTGGCAACGCTGACAGTTGCTTTACAGCAGCAAAGGTCCATGTAGCAAAACAAGCTTCTTGACACAAAACACGAGCCTCATTAAACATGCATTTTTTTTTTTTTTCTGAACAGTATAACAAGTTTAATTATTGCTATATAGTTTTCTTTCAGTGTCTGATCCTTGTGATCTTTTAAAAGCTAAATGAAATCAAGCCAAAGAGATTAAACAACTGTAGCTTAAAAATGTTCATTTACATAAAACATAAGGGCCTCCAGACTAGTTGCACTTTCACTGCACTTCAAACATCTCAGACAGTGACTAATGTGTCTTTGGACACACAAATAATAGATTAGAGCTGAAAGACGAGAAATTAAGGAAAAATATCACTTGTGTCCTGAAATGACTTGTATTGAGAATTGTTGCTATGTGAACCAATAAAACTAAATCTGATCCCTACTTTTTTTTTTTCTGTTGCATTCATGATGGTTTTAATTTGCAGAGCAGTCACTAACTCAGAAATGGCTTTAATTAAAAATACATATTTAAAAAAAAAAAAAAACAGGCTCGTTCTGAACATCATTCCATGAATTTCCATCAAAAATAAAGACAGGAGCAGTAACTTTCTACAAGCGCACACAACCTCAGTAACATCTGCAAGACCTGTTCTTCACGTTATTCATTTATGTATTAAATTTAATTATTATTTTATTTTGTTTAACACTGAAGCTCAGACAGCTGCTTCAAACTTCCACTGGGATCAGCAATTAATTTTCTTTATATTATATATATATATATACATATATATGTGTGTATTTTTTTTTTTGTTACATTTTTTTAATTAGGAAGTAAACCTAAATAGTTATAAAAGGTATAACATAATTTAAGGGCTTTTATTGAAAATATGGGTAGGAAGTAAAATCTAGTTTTAGACCGAGCTTAAATGGAAAATTCTGACTACATTTTCAAAAGTTTTGTTAATATTAAACTTAAAGCGATTCAACAGAGAAGTGGCCATGTTGTACCACTTGTCCTAATGCTCTAGTCTAAACGTAGCTTCCCGTAGTGGCAACATGTTACAGTAAAGCAGTTTTTCTTTTTTTTTTTTATATACTTTTTTCCAACTGTTGTTAAATAAATAGTTAAGGAATATTTTTCTGTAAAAATGGAACATGACTGTCTTTAGAAATGAATTTGAAATATTTGATTTTTCTTCAAATTACCAGAAAAAAAAAACCCACAATGCTAATGATGTTAGCATTTCTATGGTGTTTTCTATGTTAAGCTAGCATCTATACTATTCTGAGGTTGGTCAGCAGTCTGTGATTAATAGTTTATGTTTGTTGCATAGTCTGTTGTGTTGTCAGGCATAAAAACATGCAAATCAGTGATTAATTGTGCAAAATAGGCAACAATAATTAAATTGCATGAATAATTGTGCACTTTGCAGCTTTCTGAATCATAGTCAAGTCAAATTGTTAAGTGCTTTAAAGTTCCTACTTCTACTTTAAAGCCTCAAATGCAGAAACACAAAGGTGAGAAAATCATCTAAATAAATTATGTCAATAACTTTAATAAATCAAAATCCTTAAAGGATGAAAAGGAATGAGCAAGTTCTCAAATTTCAAAGACATTACCAATCCAGATTTTATTAAGCGCTGATCCGTCTTTTATTAAAGACTATATTGTGGGATTTCCCTGAAGCGTAGCAGTGAGAAGTGCCTGATATGCTCCACTGAAGAAAACCTGAGGACCCCTCTGGATTTAGCTCCAATTAGAGGCGGGTGGAAGCTGCGACTCCTCTGGTTTTCTGCGAGATTTCCTGTGCTGAGTGAAAGCTGAGGCAGACGTGGTGCTGGGAGCTCAACAAGACGCAAACAGGTGAAATGTTGTTATAATTTATGTGACAACTTCACGTTTGAACTAATTAGGACTTGAAGTGTCCACTTAACCTTGTTTAACCCAAATAAAGAAAAATAAGTATTTATCAGCTGATTTTAAGTGTAAAAGGATATTTACATTTCAATGAATATGATTTTGTTCATTAATTCATTGTGAAAAACATTTGTCAAAATGATAAGAATCATAATATTCTCATCTGACAACTAATTTAATTATTTAAAGACGTTGGGTAGCAGCTAATGACTTAGTGGAATATGAAAAAAACAGATTGATTGCTACTAAAACACAAAATCCTAATAAAAGGCTCAGAGTCTACCACTCTGTATCCCAGTCACTCTTGATGCAAACATTTCGAGCAGTCATGTCAAACGTCTCATTAAGTAAAAAACAAAGCATTGCCCACAAGTCTAAGAATCAATATTGTTTTGTTATTTATGTCCTGAGAGGTGAATTGGCTGTCCGTTCTAGTTTAAAAGCAGCTTAAAGAGAAGTTTGCACTGTTCGGCTTTTCCTCCCATGGCTAGATTCATTTCATTCTCATGCTTAAGTCCTAAATAAACTGTCAGCTTAGGAGAGTTTGTTGACAGAAGAAGAATTGGTCACCCTACTCCTGTTCTGAATGCATTTATCTTCTTGGTTTTGACACAAAACTAATACATTTAAATCCCACTATGAGGGTAACGATTCTCTTTAATCATATTTTCTAGTTTGTCGTCATTTTCTATGTTAAATATTCACCACACCTTTAAAAGAAGACAACGTCGATGGCCTAAAATGGTATTTTGCATCGCCAGTAAAATCCTGACAAACACTCACCAAACATGTTGCCAATATGTCCATTTTTTGTCAAAGGACGCAGCTCATTTTTGCCCCAGGCGTACAGCTTGTAGTTGTCCCACGCAAACTTCATCATCTGTAAGAACAAGAGGGCAGACACAGCGGTCATTGCACAGAAAGCAAAACATCAAACTTCTAAACGCAATCATAATTAAATTGGTACAGCTCAAGGCAAACGGAATGATGGGTATCGATCAGGACTGGATAAAAGGACAAACACGCAATTATATCACATAAACCACACTGCTAAACAATGCAGCTGACATTTTCCCTGCAGCCACAGCTACTCTTCTAAATTAAAGATTGACTGGCACCAGAAGATGAAAAAGGACATCTCTGAGCACGAAATCAAAGAAAAAAAAAATACAGAAATAACTTTCTATGCAATGTTAGATTTGTATGATGCTGATTCACACTACACACGTATAACAACTTGTGTTTTGTGTTTTAGTCAACCTCGTTTGATAAAAGTATTTTTCCTAAACTCCATAATGAATCAACAACTAGTAAATTAATAAGCTGCGAAAAGTTCAAAAGACGGTGTGGTGGTAATTTAGATTTAATTCTAAAGAACCCTGCAGTAAAGCTTTCCATCTTTGCTTTTCCAGTTACTTCACACAGTTCATCATGTTGATGCATGCAGGGAGTTTAAATGGCAGCAGCTGCACAGATTCATCAGCGAATGATACCCAACATTTAACACTTCTCCAAGTTGCTTCATCAACTCGGATCACTTAATGCAATAGAGGCTTGCTATATTTCATTTAAAGCCAAATTAGATAAATTTATATATATACATGGTTCAAAGAGGTGTGAAAAATGTCTGTTAGGGGATTGTCCTGGGATCATCATATTAAAAGAAAAACTAAAGTTGTGTGCGTTTTGGTACTTTTTTTTAATTTATTTATTTTTTTTAAATGTTCACCACAAGCTTAACACAGTTGGCTGAATGAATAATGAAGGTGATGAGTGTACAGTAGTCCCTCGCTACTTCACGGTTCGACTTCCGTGGACTCGCTCCTTTGTGGTTTTTCAAAGCAGAACTGGACATGACACACAGCCGGCTGATTGATGGATGAGCCACGCAATCGGCATGGATGTTTTATTTAAAATAAATTTGTTCAAATTATTTAGCACCTGCTGCACCTGTGTGCAGCCCACCGGCGCAAGAAGAAGCTTCCTCCTGCAGCGTGTCAAGATCTCCGCTCGTCAGTGGAGAAGTGGGTGTGGCCAAGAGCGCTGGCAGAGAGCGGCAGGTGGCAGAGAGTAGAGATCATGACATGCTGTGTTCATTTACAGCATTCAGAGTTTAGAAACTAGAATATTGCAAGTGTGTGGGAAGGGTTTTAGAACACCTTGTATACTACTATTCCTACTTTGCAGTTTTTCCACTTATCGCACGCGGAGGGTGGGTGTGTGTGTGTGGGGGGGGGGGGGGGTATGAGCATGGAAACCCCCACGATAAACAAGGGATTACTGTACCTTGAACATGGTGCATTTAGGAAATAAACTGATTTCAGTGGGATTTGTTCAAAAGCATAGTTGCCTGAAATATCCTCAAAAAAGGTCTAAAAATTGACATTTTCAAGGATTCAAGATTCTCGTACACACCACATGTGGTACATGTGGTGGAACGCAGTGTGTACACAGGGTCCTAGCTACATACAACAAAAGTATTAAAATGTAAAAGAAAAATAGTAAAAAGATCTAAGATATGAACTAAGAAAAACAACTAAAAATAATTTAATTTTTTTTTTTTTAATTTACTAAAAAAGTTTTGCCTCTATGATGGCAAAAAAAGATTAAAGAAAAAGGCAAGCCGACTAAGATTTGTTTACTAGGAAACAGAAACAACTATTTATAACTGAAACACAATTATCTTCTGATCGTTTATTTGGTTAATGTGTAAGATTTTTATGATACTAAACAAAACGATCACAATGATTCAGAGGATAAATATTCAAGATTTTTTAAAGATTTTAATTATTTGAGCAACAACAACTCTAATGAAGGATAAGTGGAAGAAAATGGATGGATGGAGCATTAAACACTTTATTTGTCTCCTCTGATATTTCTCATGTCCAACATCAGGACAGAAGTCACTCATGCATCATTATATTTACTTATTTAATGATTCCATCCATCCATCCATTTTCTTCCGCTTATCCGGGGTCGGGTCGCGGGGGTAGCAGCCTAAGTAGGGAGGCCCAGACTTCCCTCTCCCCAGCCACTTGGGCCAGCTCTTCCGGGGGAATCCCGAGGCGTTCCCAGGCCAGCCGAGAAACATAGTCCCTCCAGCGTGTCCTGGGTCTTCCTCTGGGCCTCCTTCCGGTGGGACGTGTCCGGAACACCTCACCAGGGAGGCATCCAGAAGGCATCCTAAACAGATGCCCAAGCCACCTCAACTGGCTCCTCTCGACGTGGAGAAGCAGCGACTCTACTCCGAGTCCCTCCCGGATGATCGAGCTTCTCACCCTGTCTCTAAGGGAGAGCCCAGACACCCTGCGGAGAAAACTCATTTTGGCCGCTTGTATCTGAGATCTCATTCTTTCGGTCACAACCCAAAGCTCGTGACCATAGATGAGGGTAGGAACGTAGATCGATCGGTAAATTGAGAGCTTCGCCTTTTGACTCAGCTCTCTCTTCGCCACGACAAACCTGTACAGCGCCCGCTTCACTGCAGACGCTGCACCTATCCGCCTATCGATCTCACGCTCCATTTTTCCCTCATTCGTGAACAAGACCCCAAGATACTTGAACTCCTCCACTTGGGGTAAGACCTCCTCCCTGACCCGGAGAGGGCACTTTACCCTTTTCCGGCTCAAGACCATGTTCTCGGATTTGGAGGAACTGATCTGATTTTTTTTATTTTTTATTTATTGATTGATTTATTAAATAAATTTTATTTTTACATTTGAAGGGGTATCAGAAAAGGTAAATGGTAAATGGACTGTACTTATATAGCACCTTTCTATCTAATCAAGATACTCAAAGTGTTTTACAACACAATCTGTGCCCTCAGTTACCCATTCATACAGCACTCTACTAGATCTATACAAAGAATAATCAGTGCTTTATTACATGAATACACTGATGGGACACATCCAAGGCAATGAGGGGTTCAGTGTCTTGCCCATGGGACACTTCAGCATGTGACTGCTGGTGGAATCGAACCCCCAACTCTCCCATTGGAGGATGACTGCTCTAACCACTCAGCCACAGCTGCCCCGTCTGAACACCGGTACTAGCCCTAGATTTGAGATCAAAAGAGGAATAAGAGGAGATGCACCTCTTCCCCTTTGCTGTTTATAATGGTGGCTGAAGGTCAGAATAAGAAATTGCTACTTCATATCAAAACATGCTAAGTTAATAACACAGAATACTTTAAAATGAACTGAAAACTCATTTTGCCTTGTAGTATCATTGATTTAAGAAGTTTTAACACCAGCTCGTTTACTAAATTCAAGTACTCCAAACATCAAATTTACACAAATTACTTTTGGTACCAATACAAAAATAGAGATTTGTCGTGGAAACATCAAAATGTGTCAACTGGTCAGAGAGGTTGAATTTGATCACAACTTACTGATTAACTATTTTATAAAGAGTCCCAATCTAATATTTGGTTTGACGTTTGGGTTGCACCACATATCAGGTTCTTTGTGTGTTCACAGATCGTACGAAACAACAAAACCTGCATCAAGGCCGTCAGTGCAGTTTTGTAGACTTGTGTTTGTTTTTCAGATAAATAGAAACTGGCAACCAGCACCCCACCAGTTTTGCAGAATGTGAACAAACTGAAAACACTTGAAAGGAACAAAAATGATGAATTTCATGGAGTAAAAATGCTCACAAAAGATAATCTTTTCCTCACACTGAGTAGAAAGATAAGTATCCAGAGCTTGTGTCTCTCTGTGACCCGTACAGAACACTTTGCCTCACACAATAAAAACCAGTAAATGTCTCATGTTTTATTTCAAGCTGACACCATATTTTATAATGTCAGTGTGACCCATTCCTCTGGTAGCTTTAAAAGCCACAGAGCAAAAGTAAAAGCACAATGTCTAAGCTAAATCCCACAAAATCTGCAAATATTAGAACCACATGCCTCTCCCATTCGTTTGAAGAATGGTGCGGACATTTCATGAAAGTCTCTGCAAAGACTCGTTATTTAATCCTGCGAGATAAACAGAAATTCAATATTTATACAAGTATGGAAAACAAAACAACAACAACAACAACAACAATGGGTTCAGTCTGGCCACATACATACAGGAAATAGGTTTTGTAAATATGCAGTATTTTTTTATTGTTTCAGCCTTGCGTCCACATGTGAATGACACGTTAGAAGCCTGGAAATGGTACTTTTGCAAACCAGGTTCCAGAGTGAAAATACCTTGAAATGTCCTTACGTTGTCATGTGGTCAAGCTAAACACAAACAACAACAACATAAAACCACTAACTCAAATGGAACCATCAACCCCAAGTCCGATAGATGTAATGAATACAGATTATTGCCTTTGTTTGTGTTGCAAATATGAGTTGCACACGTTCAGCAAAACCTTATTTTGCTGTATAACTTCTTTAGACATGAACAATAACACACATACGAATCAAGGAGCACTGGGAAAAAGAACAATCACTTATTATATCCAATATTCCAAGGCCAAAAGGGTTTGAATTACTGTATTTAAATAGTTAATCATATACATGCAACAAATCTTAAGAAATGGGAAAATCTGTAAAAAGACTGATGCTTGAAAACATTGAGTCTGATATGAAGGCTGTGAAGAAAAGAGATATTGTGCTTGAACAGCGTCCATTACGTCCACGGATTTGGGCTGACAACATCTTTTCTTCTTGTGTTTATAGTTTGGAGTGCATGCTCAATGTCTTCTATCCTGTTTCTGGTGTAATTCTGCGTCAAAGCAACAACGCCGTGTGCAGGCCTGGCATAGTTACTACGGCATTTTGAGCTGCTTTCTATGTTTTTATGTCGAAGAAAACATTCATAGTGTGTTTTTCTGTAGGCCTCAAAATGTATGACTGTATTTGAATGTGGACTAGCTGCACCA